CTTTTCTCTTTTGCAAATGACATGCATCGGTCATAAGCAGCGCCATGATGCGTCCTTGCGTGCTATCATTGAGCGCCTCGAATCACCATCTTCCAATCAGTCCCATCGCTCATTTGTGCTCCACAATGGTGTATTATACTGCCAAAGTGTTGAGCTGGATGGACCGGCCTTGCTGCCTTTCATTCCGAAACACCTTCGCTCGGAAGTTCTACATGAACTTCATGACCTTCCAACTGCTGGTCACCTTGGTGTGTCACCCACTAACGACCGAATATGCCAACGCTTCTTTTGGCCAGGGCTTGCACGCTCAATCAGAAGATACGTTGCGGATTGTAAAAAATGTCAGTGCCGCAAAACACCATCGACACTTCCCGCCGGATGCCTTCAACCACTTGACATTCCATCAGAACAGTTCTTCCGCGTTGGCTTGGACCTACTTGGCCCTTTGCCTTTGTCTTCCTCGGGTAACAAGTGGATAGCCGTGGCCACCAACTACGCTACGCGTTATGCCATCACACGAGCTCTTCCAACAAGCTGCATCACAGATGTCGTTGACTTCCGCCTCAAGGACGTGACTTTGCAACCCGGAGCCCCACGGCAGCTGCTTACAGACAGTGGGCGCACCTTTTTGTCGAAGGTCATAGCCGACATCTAGCTGTCCTGTCAAACGAGACACAAGCTGACTACGTCATACCACCCGCAAACCAATGGACTCACGGAGCGTCTAAATCGAACTCTTACAGACATGCTCGCTGAGTATGTTTATACCAACCACACCAACTGAGATCTCACGTTGCCGTACGTCACATTTGCCTACAATTCTTCGCACCATGACACTGCCGGTTACTCCCTATTTTTTCTGCTGTTTGGCCAAGAAACAACATTGCCTCTAGACACCGTCATACCGTCCCCTGTAGTACCGACCAATGAATATGCCATGAACGCTATCACTCAGACCACTCACACACGCGAAACCACCCGTACTCGCCTTCTGACCTCTCAAGAAAAGCAGCGGTGTTTGTATGACCAACGACACTGCGACGTACACTTTCCGCCCAGTTCTTTGGTCCTGCTCTGGTCTCCAACCCGTCAAGTTGGCTTGTCAGAAAAACTGCTTACTCGCTACACAGGTCCATACCGAGTTCTTCGTGTGGTTGCTCCTGTAACATATGAAATTGGTCCTGCCACCTTGTCGCCTTTATGTGCCCAGTAGGTTATCGATATTGTACATGTTGCGTGCTTGAAGCCCTACCACTCTCCTAGTGACGTTGACATTTAGATGTGTCGAGACGCCGCTCGTGCTGCTGGGGGTTATGCTACATGCATGCATATTAATATTCTAGGGGACAACGCGCGTGTGTGCCGGACGAGCAAGACGAAGGGTTGTTTCCGCTGGATCGCTGGTGAACCAGTCACGCCATTACCACTGATTTTAAATACACCTAATCCCCAGCCTCGTCGCTACGGTGTCTCTTCTTTTCCGTAACAGTATGATTGATACTTTAATTTAATCGAGTTCAATAAAATACCATGACTGCACTTTTAAAATATTGCAAGGCTATACACCAAGAGCCAGAAATGCTGTAGACCCAAGTAAAAGTTAATAACAGGGAATCCAACTAGCTTCAAGTGATTTCAGTTGAGAACCAACTAGTCCCAGCTAGGGAAGCAGCAAGTTCTAGTTGCAAAACAACTAGACACCCACTGGAACCATGACCAGTTGCACTAGAAGTGATATTGAACCAGAACCTTAGATTACTTCACAAGATCCATGCATGACTTACCTAAATAGTGGCTGAAAGTTATAAAAAAAAGCAGAAACAAAAGCGAAACAAATGTAACACATGTTATATACCAGGAGCATACTAAGCTTCCACAAGCTTTAATGAAACTAACAAAAGACTTATAGGTTTTTTCCCCCAGACATTTAATACCTTGCCTGCAGTCCCACAATAAGAAGGCTCCACATTCAAGCAGGGATGGACAGCATAGAAATGTGTGGAATTACTAGAACTACTACTGCCCATCAGTTGGTTATCTTTAAAGCAAACTCCACAAAATTTCGAAAGTAGCTTGAATAGAGAATGTACTGGACGTTTTGTGAATTTTGCTAGAAAATACTGAGGCATTCTGAAAATGATAAAAATATATCATTTTACTATTTTCATTTTCTGATGGAACATTTGTAAAAAGGTTTTGTATGTAAAATAGTATAATCTCTTCTGGTTATTACACGTGCCCAGGGTATCCTTCTGAACCAAAATAATAGTAGGCATGACTGCTCTTTAGTAAAAAATTGAGATATATGATAACTAGAATACTGGGGCTCTACTTTTTTAAGATAAAAACTCTTGTAACAATACAATTCCAGTGGCAACACTATTATTTTTCTTCTAAATGGGCCCATGCTGTTCAGAAAGAAGTCACAAAAGCTTACACTTGACAGCTGGAGTGGTTACAGAGAGGATGCTCATTTTCTGACGAAAAGTAGCATTTGGAGAAAATGCCATTTAAAGTTCCAGTTGCTGCGGTCCATACACGGGATCAGGCGCATTAAGGTTTATTTTAAATGCTTTCCACTGCGCGTAAAACATGTCACTGCGTGGAAGTACTGTCAGTAATTCTGCAATACCGTGCTACGAAAACTGAAAAATCGCATTTTCAGTTGATTTTACGGTCCATCCCCTCCCCCCCCCCCACCCCCGTTAAGTGTCAGGTATAAGACCTGGCATCACCGACTTGCTGAGACAGCCATTGAATTCTTTAGACAAGGATTAATTTTATGTCAATAATCACAGATTTATGAGGAGGTTGTACGGGCTTTCGTTTGAACCTACATGGACACCTTCAGGTAGATAACATGAAATTTCTTTCACCTTACATATATTAACCAAGCTCATTTAAGGGGGCAGACTGCTCTTCGGGACGAAAAAGTGACAAAAGATTCATTTTTTAAAATTGACATATTTGGTTTCGGCAGGTACTTTCCTATCTCTCTGCAAATTTTCACGCACCAGGAAGTAGTAATTTTTTTGTAATGTCATTTTAACTGTGCAGATTCTTGGTGCTGTTAACATGCAGAACCTGCAAAAAAATGGGGAACCGACTTTGAGACTTCTTTATAATTTGCCAGCACCTTTGTCTAAAGCTCTACTACCAATTTATGAGCCCTCTCATGAGGATTGCAAAACATGCGCACCATGATTGTTACTTTTTGAAGAAACCGTGGTTTTCACTTTTTTCCATTTTTCTCAAAAAAGTAATTTTGTGACTATTCAATTTTGAGGCCTCAATATCTCTGCAGCTAGGGCAGGTACAAGAATAATTCTTTTGCAGTGGAAACCTGTATGTGTGTAGAATGCAAGTATGGGAGCAGAATTTAGAGCAGACGCCTTTTTAATTAATTACCAATCAAAATTGTAACACAATTCAAACTGCTTTTGAAAGTGTATAGTTCATTTTGCTGCAAAATAACCAATAAAAGCCTAAAAACAAAAACCTCTTCCATACTTTCACTCTATAGTCATTAGTCTATGTTGGCATATCCTAAATATCGCTTTTAATTAAGCAATTTTTTTTCTATGGTGGCCTTAAACAATAGGGGAGGAACTTAAGTTATCTCAGGAACAAAGTGAGTTACATGAAAACTAATTAAATATTTGAAATCAGCAGAAAAAAACTGCATAACCCTGTGCAGTTTTATCAAGATCACTGAAGAAATAAACAAAAAATGTCTAAGACCAGTCTGCCCCCTTAATTTACTTATTGGTGTTTCTGCACTGTGCACTGTGAGTTGTCAATAAAATGTACAACGCAACTAACCATTTCCCTGCACTGCTCACAGTATAGCAAGTGCTATAGCAAAAGCTTTTCATGCAATGATTTATCCCCTGAACGAAAATCTTTTCTCTGACTTTGAAAGTTTCGTCTTTTCTTTATTTCTTTTTGAAAGACTTCTTTTTTATACTGTCACACCGCTGTTCTAGTCGACAACATCTTTTCCTCTCATGAAATGCCTTCCAAACATGCAGGCTCACTCAACTATATACAGAAAGCGAACAGTCACGACATTAGGTATGCCATAACCCCCTTCAAACTTTCTTTTTAGATTTCCTACATACCAATAATATCGACATGCCACTACGAAAAAATTCCAAGCGTTGAAATATATAGAATGATAGACATCCATAATAAGAGTACACAAACCACAAAAACATTTCTTCATGATTTATACACACAAAGTGAAACAAGTGCACACGAAAAAGAAAAATGATAGCACTGCCAAATTCAGACCGCAGTCTTCAACTTCAAGTTGCCTTCACATGTGGAGAATAAAATTGACATTTTTTGTTTATTTACTGGCTTGAACACACTTGAATAAAAGTTACGGTATAATGAACATTCGGAAGTGAGTTGTTGTCAAGCTGTGAAATCGCTCATGAATGTTTAACATACCATAACCTTTGTTGAAATGAGTTTAGAACATTATTCTGCTTTTACTCCATGCAGATTTTATTCCAGATTATCATGATATGCTGATTTACTTTGCGACTGTCTCATTTTGAGAAAAACCTTGCTCCTAAATAGGCTAATCCAAATTTTAGATATTGTAAAAACTACATATTCTTCAACGAAGGTACTTGCATATTTGAAATCAGTACACAAACATACATAACCTCAGTAAATTTTACCAAATAGATCAAGAATTTTATGTTTTAAAGTGCCACATTACATTCAGGTGATGTACAATTTAGAGTGAGTGAGGTATTATTTTCATGCTATTGTGATAATGAAGCAGGTCTGTATAAACATGCATATGCATTTTTCTACAAGTATACAATAATGCTGTCAGCTCATCCAAGAACAAGGGGTGGTGAGCATACATACCTACCAACCTAACAGGGAAAGGTCTGCTGACCTGAATATACTATGTGACAATACAAACAATTCCACTGGATAACTGCAAAGCACAATCCAAAAAATTAAGCCACAAAACTTACAGGAGAAGGTGACTTGCCACAAACATAGTGGCCTCCAAGGCCTTCGCGGCGACAGTACACTCCGTCAGGCGTTACAACCAGTGGAAAGTTGAGCCCAGGGCCATCTGGACACTGGACAACATAAACGTAGCGCTTCCTGCACCAGAAATACAAAAGTCAAGGTTAAGCAAGTGCTTTTTTCGGCTGTGTATCTTGCTATACCACACACTAGAAATAAACAAATGATGTTCATGGCAAATTCGTACTTGTTACATGAAAACAGAATGATTGCCTTTTAATGCAAAAGAGGAATTATGTATTAAAGGAGTACTGATTACATTCATGTAACTTTTATTGCAATATAAATTATATGCACACTCATGAGGGGTTCTTGCTGTTGCCTACATGTTTCGTATGAAGACGAAATCAATAACACTGCCCCATGCATTTTATGCTATAACCAAAAGTAAAAGTTGAAGCATAGATGAAACAAGCCAGCCATCTTCATTGCACGGAGAGTACATGTGAGAACATTACTCTACATGGGAAGCCTACCATCGATAGCTTTTCAAGCAGGGAGGAAATGCCCCACCCGTATTTCGTTCGGTGAGGGAGCATGAAGGGACACCGGTGGGAAAGGGGTGAGGGGATGGGATGTACTGCTTCAGGAGCAAGTGTGAACTCGTCATAAGGACAAGGTTGCGTGTGCCGGCAGGTGCTAATTCGGCAGACATCAGCAAATGGCTTTTATACCCTTCCACATACTGTGCTTTCACTGCTTCGCATTGAGACGACAGACTACAAGAAAACCACTTCTCTTGATGGAGTGGCAGTATTCTCTTACAGGAGCATTTATTAGAGTTGCATGAGATCAGATCCAAAAGTTAGCTGCTAGCCTTACTTTGTGTAACACTGCAATTTGTTGCTATTGCATTCATTTCTTTGCCATTGTGGTGAAATTTATTTGTTCTTCCAAATTTCATAAACATTGCACAATTACAGTAAATGGCCAATCCCAATAAAAGTGCTGGCTTCGGATTGTGCTCTTGTGGGGCTGCCCTTATGTGATGTAAAAATACAATAAAAGAGCCAGTCTCGCTCTTTCAGTGCATTCTCTGCAGTACTTCCACTAACATTTGCTTTTGCTGCTCAATGTCATTGTTTGCTTGTGAAGATTGCAGCAACCACCCATAAACTAGCTTACTACGTGTACTGGAAGAAAGTGTGATGATATAAGAAAAAAAAATCCTTGCGAATAAATATATGTTAGTAAATTTATTTATTTATTTATTTATTTATTTATTTATTGTACCTTGCGGTGTACACGTATCCCGAAGGAGTACGGCCACCAGCGTGGGTCCGGTCTAAGCGAGCCGCAGGGCACGCGTTAACCGTCGCCGTGGCGAGAACACGATACTGCTCAAAGTCGCAACACTTTATTGTGGCAACATCAAACGCAGTACAGTCTGTTGCAAAAGGCGCGGCGGGAAAGCAAATAGGCTTATACACGCCACGGGCACAAAAGTACTACACAAGGTGCCACGAGCACGTCTCCACGGTAAAGGTGATCCACGGAGACACCGGGACCAAGGCCCGGTTGCTCGAGCGAGGGCAAAGGTGCTCACGTTGGCTTCGGAGGGAGACAAGTCGGCGTAGCCAGGCCACGCACTAGGACGCCGTACCGCCCTTCGGCCGTGCGTACGCAGCGGGGCAACAAAAGGTGAGCGTTCGCATCGGGCGCGAGGCGCCGTCAGCAAAGTCCGACGAGCCCCGAGCGACGGGAGTCGACGGACGGTAAAGATTGCGTGGCTCACCGTTTGCAGCCCCGGAGAGTACTGTCTGCTCCCGACGCAGCGCGCGAAAACCTCTCGGGAGGCTCCACGCGCGGCGCCACAGTCAACATCCGCTACCGGGTGAGAGAGTTAAACGTCACTACGCTGTCCCAGCGCGGCAGACAGCAAAGAAGGGCAGACATGTCGGGACATGAGAACGGCAGAAAAGGCGGCAAAGCCCGCGCAAAGGCAGCGGGCTAGCCTCAATTCTCACATCATATACTTCAACAGGAGCCCGTCATGGTCCAGCAAATATGAATCCGCCGGGGACTCAGAAACACACGCTGGTTCGAGCCCCCTATTCGCGCCCTCTGCAGGGAAAGCAGCCTCACGGCGCTCCGTCTCGTCGAGACAGTCATTATCGGCGCCCGCTGCAGGACAAGCAGTGTCATGGCCCTCCATCTCTCTGAGACCGTCGCACATTTCGCGACAAAATGGGTCACTTTGCTGGGCCTTCAGAAGCTCTTCTCTGCTGAAAGCAATGCTTGTTCTCCCAAAATGGGAGAGTCTGGTATCGCGCCCACTCAGGACCGCAGCAACAACTGCTTGAGTCGACGTTATGGGTTAAATCTCGGCCTCGTGTCCTTCGAAAAGCTCCCCCGCTTGGCCGTTTCGCGGTGCGCCGCTTACCTGGTTATCAGCCAAGGTTTGTCCGCATGGGGACTCACCCTTTTTGCCGAATGGCGGTGAAGCTGCTGTTTCGCCCCCGACGCTTGCATGTGCTAAGGCACCGCTAGCAGCTGTCGCACCGGGATCAAGGTCCTCGGCCAACAATGGGGCACGAGATAGCGTGTCAGCTACCACGTTGGTGCTCCCCTTTCGATACTGCACGGAAAAGTCATAGTGCTGTATCAGGAGAGCCCAGCGCGCCAGCCTGCCGGCAGGCTCACGGAGCCGCATCAGCCAGCTGAGCGCACTGTGATTCGTTTGCACTACGAATTTCGTCCCATCAAGATAGACGTTAAACTTCCGCAGTGCAAACACGATGGCAAGGCACTCCTTTTCGGTCACGGAATAATTTTTCTCCGCAGAGACCAAGGAGCGGCTGGCAAAGGCCAACGGCTGCAACACGCCACCGTATTCCTGTAGAAGAACAGCTCCTAAACCCAGATCGCTCGCACCAGTTTGTACAACGAACGGTCTGGTCAGGTCGGGGAGCTTGAGCTGCGCTGTCTCCACTATGGCGTTAGACAGTCGGCAAAACGCCTCCTGCTGCTCAAGTCCACATTGCCACTCAGCAGACTTACCCAAGAGTTTGCTCAAGGGCGCCTGCAGTCGAGCACAGGACGGAATGAAGGAACAGTAAAAGTTGACCATTCCTAAAAAGCGGCGAAGGCCACGTACGTCCTTGGGCACGAGAAAATCGAGAATAGCTCGAAGTTTCTCCCGATCCGTCTCTATGGAGCCTTTGCCCAGCGTAAACCCGAGCAACTGAACACGGGTCTGCACTAATTGGACCTTAGCGGGGTTTAATGTCATCCCGGCAATCCTCACCCTCTCGAGTACATCGGCAACATGGGCCAAGTGCTCTTCGAAGGTCCGTGAATAAATCACGATGTCGTCGAGGTAGCACATGCAGTATGACCACTTTGCTTCCCCGAGGACGCGGTTTATGAGTCTTTGAAATGTCGCAGGAGCATTGCAAAGACCAAAGGGCATACGAGTTGTAGCGAGAGAGGTAGACGGGACTGTGGCCAACGTGGTCGTGTCGTTCTCTCGCCACTTTATTCCACCCTTGAAGCGGAGGCGCGTGGCTTTCCACGTCCGACACACCAAGTCCGCTAGCTTGTTCTAGTCCTCGCGCAGCTCGAGCTAGCATCAGCTGCACGAGAGGAGCGGCACGGTCATTGAGAAATGATGATGATCAGGCACTACAGGGCTCCCCCCCTAGCGCTTTGCGCGATTTGAAGTGTATATGACAAAGAAAGAGAAAAAGACTATATACATGAACGAGAATCCGCAAGGTGTTCGTTTGGGAAGTCCAGTTTGTCAACGTGTAGTGACCATCGGGAACCAGTGGGTCTCTGGTGGGCGACAGTGGGAGTTGCGCGAGCAGTAGACGAAGAAGTAAGCGTTCGGAAACTGTGTTTGCACACAAGTGGGTGACAGGATGACCAGCTGAGGCTAGCTGGGAGCGCACAGGGTGTCGCGAGTGAGCATTGCAGGTAGAGAGGCGTTCAGGGTGAGGTGATGACGGGTGCACAAAAGCTGATTTGGCCCCTGCGCGCGAAGCAATTAGAAGTGGCGTAGTGAAGTCTTGCAGACCACCCATCGACAAGCAACGGCTTTGACGGTGCTTTCGCGGGCGTGCACAGCACTGGTGCCGATGTCGGTACACAGGTGTCGTGACGTGAGTGGTATTTGAATATGAGTGGACTTGACCACTTACGTTGGCAGTGAGTAAGTAGCATTGTACACGTTGGGTAGAGGTGAATGATGTATGCGGTTTGTAAAAGGGTGTGCCTACAGTACAGTTACACGCCAACTCGCCTACAGTTTCCGTCAAGAACTCAGTAGGAGGCGTGTCATTGGATCCAGCAGATATGGACTCTGGAGGAGGCTCAGTGGGCGTACCTTGACTTGGGGAAACACCTTCAGTAGTCGGCGCACGTCGGTTCGTGCGCAGGCCGGTATGGAAGATGGGTGCCTGTATGCCAGGCGTGAGATGTGCGGTCTGCTGTGACATAGGCAGACCAGGCACGTCATCCTCAGGAGCGTCGGTCATAGTCGCAACATCTCGGGAGTTTGGCCGTGGTTGACAGCTTGTGGCTTCAACTTCGCCTGCGAGAGACTGCGAGGGCGAGGATGGTTGCTGCTGGCAGGACACGCAGATCATTGAGGTGAGTGGAGAGGCACCTTCGGACATTGTCGACACTGAAGCCTTTGCGACCGGGGGGTGAATAGCAGGCGTGACGATGTCCGTAGTCGTGGTAGACACCAGGGCGTTCGGTGATGTTGCCGTCGTAGAACCTGACGTGTCAGCCGTGTTGTGAGCCATGGAGGTCGGCCGACACGAGCCAGTAGTAAACATGCCTGCAGTGTCATCGGCCGAGGACGATGAAAACACAAACCTCGTGGCTGACTGGTTGCATTCAGCTCAAATGTCGAGAACCTTGGCGGATGGGTAGTCGGGCGCAAGACACGCGTCGCTAGTGGCCAGATGAGATGTAATGTCTCATTTATCGGACGTTGTTGAAGGCGAAGGCTTCGAGGTCGGAAAGTCAATAACGGGCGAAAGGTCACCTGTGCCAGGCTCCGAGGCGGGCGGCAAAGTGGTCGTCATGGAGTCTGGTGGGCCCACGGTTGGTAGCACACGTTGCGACGC